CTCTCCCCTAAAACTGTTTACATACTTATTGGTTCAGCTTTACACAATGTGTAGTTTTTTTTTTCTTTTTACGGGTATCCTATAAATACACTGTAGTAGCTGCAGCTACTATAGTGTATTACAGTATCTTCCAGGTTCCTGCTACAGCCCTATGCTGAGCAGCTTTCCTTTGCTGTTAAAACACTGAGAGGGGAATTTATCAAAGCTGGAGCAGCCAAAATCAGGAGCACCTGTGCATGACAACCAATCAGCTTCTCTCTTTTATTTTAAAAGCTTAACTGAACAAACTGAAGAGAGACGCTGATTGGATGCCATGGCATCCTGGTTCTGTCTGCTCCAGTTTTGATAAATTCCCCTCAGTGTCCTAAAACAAAGAGTGGCTCACTGAGTATAGTGGGCATTCAGAGGATGCCTAGTATTTTTCTCAATAAATAGTACAATGAATACTAGGCTTCTCTGATTTGTAGAAGGGTAGTGACATCACAGCAGTGGAGTTTCTGCAGAGTGACCACTTCAGTCAACCACCCTAATGGAGCTCTCCCACAAACTACTAAAGAATGTCACATTGTGGCAGCTAGCAGGGAAGAAGAACCATCTGTCAACCACCCTTGCTGCAACATCCCTAGAAGCTGTTAGTCATATGGGGTGGGTAGCTGGGGGAGAAGGAGTTGCTGTCAGTCAGCCTTGCTGATGCTGCCCTGAAAACTGAAGAAGTGTTGGACCCCGTCTACACCGGGGCAGTTCGGCCCACATGGATTCACCGACATGAACTATCCCATACATTGCTATGGGGACCTTCATGCAAATGCACGGGACCGCACAATCCGAAACATCACACACAACCCCACCCCAAACTGCTCTCTGCACTATTTTTGCCGCGCTGATCAGTGCAGTTTCAATACAGCTTTCAATGGAACTGCGATGATCAGCGTGTTTTTGGGCATTTTGAAAAACTCCCAAAACCTCCCTTTTGAGAGCGGTAACCGCAACTGCCCCGGTGTGAATGGGCTCGTACATGCAAGCAGAAGATATATGCAAAAAAAAAAACCTTTTTGAAACGGGTTTAAACTTACCTGTGTCTTCGCCGCGCACTCCCGTCCAAACATTTGAAGAGTCTCGGGCGGCTGCAAAGGATCTTGGGGCGGGCGCATGCGCAGTTCAGATGTTCGGCAGGCGAGGAGAGACGCAAGGTAAATCCATGGAGCAGCGTGCACCCGCACAGACTCGGTGGGACATGAGTGAAGAGGAGGACAGAGGAGTCAGTGCTGGATCGGAGACCCGCACCAGTGCTGGAGGGTCAGCTGAAAAGGACAGTAAGGAAGAAGATGATCGAATAAATGGGCATCATTTAAGGTAAGTCCTGACACTAACATTGGGTGGGGAAAAAGAAAATAGTCTTTAATGTCACTTAAAAAAGACCAATAGGGTGTTTTAGGATTAAGGGAGGTAGGGTCAATCTTTGCTTTTGCAGAAAAAGATTTGCACATAACGTGGAAATAAAAGGTTTACTTTGCATGAGTTAAACCGGCAGAGGTAAATTAACAGCATTCTCAAGTGTATATTTACAAAATATAATGTCAAATATGTCCAAGCCCTTGATCAAATTTTACATATGTCTCTGTTAGAGTTAACATGTCCATACTGCCGTTATTGTCCTGTGCCTATAGGCTGTCCTATCTAGTACATGTGGGGGGGAAAAAAATCTTATAATAAGAAAAACTTTGAAATCAGATCATTTGTATGTGGGCTGGCAGGAGTCATTTGTGCATTCTTCAGTTCTCATGCAAAAGACGTGCTGTAGCACCAGTTGTAGCTGAGGTTACACTAAGAAATAGTTGGTAAATCCTGTGTCTGCTGCTCATATTTATTACATCCTCTCTGGCCTATTCAGTGTCAGTTTCAAGCTAGACCAACTTGTCAAACGAGTCTTAATCTAGATGAAAATAATATTCATTGTAACCGCAATGCTGAGCAGTGTAAAATTCCTTCTATTCTTTGAAGCCAAGCAGTAATTCTATACTGTTCACTATTATTCTCTGTAAATAATACATTTAAAACCATTGACATCTCACCCTCTAAAAATCTTGGTGGATGAAAACTATAAAGTGGGCATGTAAGAAAAGTTCCAGATTAGATGAAACCCACTCATTGTGAAATAGACCTTTTTATGATCTGTTTAATGTGTTGGTGTCAGCAAAACTTCTTCAGATTGCTCATACAGGCCTGTGGTGTGTGCAGGGAAACCTTTTAAACTGAGACACTTATTCTACAGTTAACAAAGTAAAAAAAAAAAACATAAATGGTTTTCTGAGATTCTTATAATTTTAGATCTAGTTTTATATATTAGGCGTGCACAAATACCGATACCTAGTATTCGCCCAAATGCTCCGATACTTACCTCCAATAACGGAACTCCTGGTCAGAGGGACTTCTCCCTCTGACTTCAGGTGTCGACGGAGCATGGAGCCGGTTTTCTTTCCAATAAGAAAGCCGGTAGGCGGTTCATGATGTGCCGCCAGGCTGCTTACCAACAAGTGGCTAGGAAGCCAGCTTCAATCAGAAAACTGGGAGACGGTTCATGACGTGCTGCCCGGCTTCCTGTTTGGCTAGGAATCGGCTTCACTAGTCGCTAGGCAGCCTGCCTTCTTGACCAATCAGGAAGCCGGAAGGCACTCGCCGCCTGGCTTCCTGATTGGTCAGGAAGCCAGGGAGCCTCAGCAAGTGAAGCCAGTGTGCTTTCACGAGAGCACCAGCTTCACCGGCAATCAGGAAGCCAGGCGATGGGTCATGATCCGCCGCCCAATTTCCAGACAATCCGGCACCGGTACACTGTACCAGCGAGTGCTGAAAAAAGAAATATCGGTACTCGTACTGGATACCGAAAAACTGGAACTGGTGCATCCCTATGATGTATTGTAAACTCTATATTAATTATAACATACTGTATCTGCAATTTATCAGATATTGCACAGGATAACCGATAAAATCCAGTTCTGGATGCATAGGGCTTCTGTGTATGAGAATGACTGGAAGGAATCTGTGGTGAATGTGTTAGGGGATAACTCCACCTGCATTGAAGCTGGTAAACTAAAGGGGTTTCCAGATTACAAGATAACTGCCAACTGAGTGAGTGAACTGATGGTCTACAGCAGCCTTTCTCAACCAGGGTGCCTCAAGGGGTGCCTCAAATGGTTGTGGAAGTGTGATGTGAAGGGGGAATGAAGACTCCTGGGGGGCTCCTGATGTAAAAGGGGGGTCTGATATGAAAGTGAGGCTGATATGAATGTGAAGGGGGCTATTGATGCAAGGGGCTGACTGATTTGAAGGGGGGTGGGGGACGACTTGTTTTGAAGGGGCCACTCCAATGTGACGCGAGAAACCCACTTTTCTGTGTGTGTTTGCGTGGGGTCCCCCTTAAAAGCTGACATTTTAGACTGGGTGCCTCAAAATATTGCATACTTTTAAAGGGTGCTGTGGCTAAAAAGAAGGTTGAGAAACGTTGGTCTACGGAAGCACCTGCATGAAAAATTGGAAGCAAAACTACAACCTCCTATCCTTTACAGCCAAGGAAGGTGCCATCTTAGCTTCCATTTGGATTGCAGCTGTCATGGTGTTGCACATGTGTTCAGCTATGATGCCAACCATTTTGGGGGCTTGAAAATTTGGTTGAGAGCTGAAATAAGCACACTGTCGACCTTGACAAATGCCATGCCTAAAGGAACCATTTTGGGAAACATTAAATTGGTGGGTAAAGTTCCTCTTGAAGCCCTGGAAGAAGGCTATGTTATATGTTTGCATTTCAAGACTTTTAATTTTTTTTATTTGATGACTGAAAATCTATTAAATATGGACTATGACAAAATAGCACATTATCAATGATCTTCTGATGACAGATTTGTTTCAATCTGAGGGCCTTTCTGTGTGTAATAAAAAAATCATTTCATGACTTGATTATGCTCCCTTTTTATAGGCCAAAACAATTTTGTATTTGTGTAATGGGAATATAAGTGCAAGTCAAGTATCTTTTCCCTCTTATTGTTGTCATGTAGCAGTGTTTTATTATATTTGAATGGAACCTATATATTGGCGCTTTTTTTTCTTTCATTCTTTGAATTGTTATATTCAAAACCTGCTACAATAGAGCAAACAATAAAGAATACCTATTATGTAAACAACAAAGACTAATTTGGCAACCCCTTGTGTCATACAATTTTAAAGGAGAAATGAAAAAGAGAATGGGACCAATCACAGAAAATAAATGTATTATTCTATATGTAACAATAATATAAACTCAATGGCAGCAAATTTCCCATAATGCACACATGCTCCCGCTATCCTCGCACAGGAGATGTTTGCGTTCACAGCAATGCCCTGTCCCTGAAGAGGGTGGAAAGAGGTCACTTGGAAAGGTCTTTGCTGGGAACCGTGTCACAGAGTGGCTCTTGTAGTATAATAGGTCTTTACAGCAGGGAAGCACATGAATAATTGCTCTTTCTCCTTTTCAGACTGTTGTGACTACGTGGGCTAGCTTCTCTCCCATAACAAGGAGCAGTGTAGTTTGAATTTGGCAAAATGACAGTTTTAGTTAAGTGCTGTATAAAATATGGTTGTATGAGAACTGCTCTCCCTGAACAAATGCCTGTATAGTGTCCTCTGATGGTTACCAGTTCTGTACATTCTATTGTGCCGAACCTTATTTAATGACCTTGGGCTAACATGACAAACCTGCGCTGTCCAGAGAGCCAGTGATGGCAATCCCATCTGTAATTAATTGCTTCAACTGTTTTGGTTTATATTTAGTTTGTGAAGTCTGTGGTGATAGCCTCAGTGAAGGGACTACCAGTTGTGCTTTAGAGGAAGCAGGTGGGGATGTTTCTAAATTTAGACTTTGATAAAAAAAAAAAAAACCATTTCCTTATTGAAAGAAAATAATCACTGGGGTTGATTTGGTACAGGAATAGAGATGGCCTACTAAAGTCAATGTTGACCTTTTTGTAAAGTGATTTGTTAAGCTAATGAAGCATGCTGAGATCTATAGTTCCAGAGCAGCTAAAAAGCCACAGGCTGCCTAAACCAGTGTCTTCTTTTCTGCCTTATAATGCTTCCATTTCATTAAAGGAGAACTATGAGGTGAGTGAAAAGCACTCATCGTCATAGTTCGAGTGGACGTGCAACAATGAAACTGTCACACGTCGGCTCAATAGATCGTCGCTCGCTCACTTCTCGATCATCTCCCTGCAGAGAGCGGCGACTGTCAGTCACGGCTCCCCGCAGGGACTTCCCTACTCCGATCCTCCAGCACTGACTGGAGGAACGGACGGAGGAGGGGTCGGGCACAGTTGGCTCTGCCTCTAGATAGCCCACTCATGCAGCTGGGTGGATCTCAAAAGTAATGTCGGGATCCGCCCCGGCTGCGGCGGTCTCAGTATACCGCAAGCTGTAGCTCGTGAAATACTGAGCTTTGGGTCACGGGAGGTTAGTATATGTCTTCCCGTGACCCTTAAGAGAACTAATGGGGAAAAACACTTAGCCCATAGTTCTTTTTTAAGTTCTATGGGCACAGTGTGGTGCAAGGTTGTGCAGCATTGCACCACACTGTGCTGGAAAAAATAATTGCATTGCATCTGCTCACACGTGTTAACTGAGCCTATCTGAAACCAGGCAAAATGCCTTGTCTTGCGTTTGGGCTGCCCTGTAAAACAACAGCCAGTGTAGCCTTAATGTATCTGGTGTGAATGTAACCTAAGATGGTGGGGTTGTCACCGGAACTGGCGAATGGAAATAAAAATATCTCATCATCTAGATGGTATCTTTTTGAATATTTTGGGAAAACTTCAAGGCAGGCCCTAACCAGTCCCAGTAACTTCTAAATACAAACCTGACAGAGGTATCAGCAGTAAGTATTGAATCATTCAGAAATCCATTAGATACCTTCCTCAGAGACCGTAACATACAGGGGTATATATATATATATATATTATATGTGTGTGTATATATATATATATATACATACATACATACATACATACATACATACATACATACAGAACTTGATGGACCTGTGCCTTTTTTTTCAACCTCAAATACTATGTAATTATATGTTCGAACCTCTCCCCACTCAATAAATGTGTATTTCTTGCCTTCTCTGTCCCCATCAGGGAGATATCCCATCACTTCCTGTCCTTGCAACACCCTGTTTGCACTACAGAAAGTAAAGTTCTATCTACCCAGCTGGGACTTAGCAATAAAAACCTGACATATTCTAACGGTTCTGTACAGAACTAAATTCATTTAATTTTTTTGGAGGGGGTTTGGCGGGGTGACCTTTTTTAACATTTACCAGGTTGTCGTGTATCGTCATAATGTCTGTTGTGTTTAATGTGAAGTCGACTATAATAAGGAGATTTTGTTTTTCTTTCAGCGCCCCTGTGAGGCTATTTCTCTGTTTAGATGATCCTCCTGGTCCTTTCGATAGTCTAGAAGAAAGCAGGGTGAGTCTTTCTGGTTTTATGATGAATTCTCATATTGGCTTGTGTATTCTTTCCATAATTTACTGCAGGCTTAGGCAGCTGTGGCTTCACAGCTGGGCTCGTGAGATGACGAGGCATGCTGAGAACTGTAGTTCCACAGCAGCTAAAACCCCACAGGCTGCCTAAACCGATGTCTTCTTTCCTGCCTTATAATACTGGCATTTTATTCTTCCAAATGTGACTGTACATCGCTGTGCACTTAGGCTTTCTGCGAGACTTTAGAAGAAACAAATTACAGACTTCAAAGAGATCTTGCCGAGAAGCAGAAGGAGCTGGAAGCCATGAAGAAGCTGTTAAATGAGAAACAGCTGCATATACAGACCCTGGAAAGCCAGTTTCAGTGAGTATTTCCCATTAAACTGCGCAGTCTGAGGACATTTCCTGGCCACCAGTTTACAGCTCTGCAGGCTCTTTACTTCTAAATTATTGGATTTCTTTTCCGATTCTGGAAATAATTTCCTTATTTGTGTCTTTGGCTCTGTTCTGTGTACATTTCTGCAGTGGCAGCATTGGTGTTAGTAGCCCCAGTAGGTCAGCAGATGGTCATACGTCTCGTGTAGGAAATCAATTTATGGTTGCCTGAATGTGGCCTTGAGAAGAAGCAACATTTGTGTTTCTGTTGGCCACACTTGTGCCTGGGAACAGATGTGCTGCAAACATTTTAGGAGTGAAAAGTTTTTATTAGTTTCCTGTAACCTAAATCTGTCACATTCTTTGACTTCTTGTCTGCATGTCGCCTAAAGCTGTTGAGCATCACTGCCCTGACACTAGTACACAGTCCAAGAGTCTGCAAATGGCAACTTCCTCCTGCACTCCAGTCACATGTAAAACTGGTCTCCCTAGCCTCGGGTGCAGGCTTTCTCCTGGCGGCTCCTTGCAGCCACACTCATGCAACATACAAACGATATTACAACAGCCACACTGTGAGGGGGATTTATCAAAACTGGAGCAGGCAGAATATGGCGAAGTTGCCCATGACAACCAATCGTCTATCTTTCCTTTTTCAAAGCTTAACTGAACAAACTAAAGAGAATCTGATTGGTTACTATGCAAAACTGCTCCAGATTGTCTGCTCCAGTTTCGATCCATTCCCCCAATTGGTAATGTCCGTGACACACTGCACGCAAAGCCGTGCGAAGCAAAGCTGTCCGGCACGGAACTTTGCGTGCAGTGTGTGAGCTGAGTGCAGGCACATGATTGACTGCACCTTCAGCCAATCGGCTCATGCATAACAACCGGCCAGATGGCGCATCAAGATAGTCTACACGCGCGAGCCGATTGGCTGAAGATTATACATTTTTTTTAATTTTTTTTTTCCTCGGCACACTCAGCTACGCAAGCTCTCGCCGAGGAGAAAATTACATGACACACTGCTCGCAAAGGCAGCGCGCCACCGATCCGCGCTGCTTCGCGTGCAGTGTGTCACAGCCTTTATGGTCCCATTATAAACTTTATTGTTCTACAAATGCATGCACAACCCATCTGGGCTCTTCTCTCCTTCCCCTTTTGCCCAACTTGTGATTTTTTTTTTTTTTTTATACTTGCTCTGCAGCCCTCGCACCCTAGCAGTCCTTTCTAAGATTAGGATCACTGCCAGTGATCTCTATCAGAATTCTACTGCAGAATTTCTAACCGCTTTGGTAGAAAAATCCATAGTTTCTGACCATCTCCTGAAGGATATCCACCTTCCCTGCCTGCCTTCTGTAGCATAACATATATTGAATATTATGTGCGGCCCCAAAGTGATGTCAGGGGCCACAACTGAGACCCACTGTAATTTGTGAATTGAACACCGGAGAGGCAGGAACACAGACAGTGTCATGTAGTACAATAAAATTGATAGTGAAATCTTATGTTGGAGTGCAGCTGTCATCATTTCCTTTACCTTATACAGGGGCTTTACTTTGGGACATGTTCCCTTTAAATCATGCTGACATTGTACCATCTTAAAGACAACCTGGCCATAGTGTTGTATAACAGGAGAAGGCCCCGTTCACACCTAGGCGTTTTGTCACGTGTATTTGTCTGCACTCAAACGCTCAAAACAAGAAATCCCATTTATTTCTATTGACCTGAGCTATGCACATAGATAAATGCCTGTCTTTGGAAAAAGTACATAAGCTTTTTTGGGGGGCCTTGGTTAGTGCAATCTGACACCCTTCCCCCCTAAAAGATGGAAATGCGCAACACAATCTTTTGTGCATTTCCCATTTACATCAATATGTCACAATCGGCTCGCAAAAACGCACAACTTATTATACACACGCAAATTCGTCCATTGAAAACGCACACAGAAGAAGAGATGAAAGGAATCCCCTTTACGAATAATGAGATGCAGAATAGTGAGATTTGCAACCTGTTTGCTTACCTTGTTGCAGTAATTACAGCAAAATTTGTGCCGGTCTAACCTATCCAGGAGCTCTTGGGGTTCCTGAGTGTAGGTTGCCCTGTGGAGTTAGAAGCTGTGCTAGGTGATGCTGCTACTTTTCCTGAAAGTTACTTTAATCCACCAGACTTTTTAGCTTTGCATCCATAAGTTCCTAAACCCACTCCAGATCTACAAAAGGCAGTAAGATGTGGAGATAATCTTTTTTTTTTTTTATATACATAGAAGTGACTTTAAAGAAAAGATGAACATCAGTAGAATTTGATTATTGCTGCCAGAGCAAGGATGGCTATAGGTAAAGGACTGAGAACAGTAGACGATATTCATGGCTGAATGGGAAACCGTTTTCTATAAGATTAATCTATTAGACACCTTGGCCCTTATTTAAGTGTCTGAGGGGGAAAAAACTGATTTAGGCAGTATGTGATGGCCCTTAACAGCCAGTCAGTTTCTACCATTACAATATGGGAGAACGTAAGAATCTGGCTAATACAGGGCAAAACAGATTGCCTAAAACCATGTTCCCTCACATGTTTAGATAAATGGGGGGAAATGGGCCCTCACATGAGTGAGTGATGTCCCTAATATATGTGAACAATTAAAAAAAAGATATCTGCAAGCATGCCTGTGTTACTGAAAGAGTCAAACCGATACCCTATAGTTTAGCATCTATTTATTCAGTTGCTGATGAACTCTATGTAGATATAAATGATACAAGTGAATGCAGCTATGTGTTCATTAATACATCATTACAGCTTACGTAACCGAGTTTGCCCTGGTATCAGCCTTTTGCACAGCAGAACTCCTGTATAACACCACTCAGATTGGGAGAGGGAGGGGGAGCACTTCATGAAAATGTGCTGACAAGAAGCATGCTGATAGGAGAAGAGTAGAGTGATCAGAGAGATGGTTTCATCAAGCTGTTGCTGTTCTTCCAATGTCCAATCACAGGCTGGGGGTGGAAGATGACTACGGAAGTGGTGTCATCATTCTGGTTGTGATGTGTAAATCTCAGGACTTGCATATCCTTTGGTAGCTAAAACCATTGCCATATATGTTTGTTTTCTGTGTGATTAGCTGTTTGCCTGAAGTTCAGCTGTAACATCCTTAGTAAAAATAAAATGTGAACCTCTGTAGGGAAATGAATATGGGACGCAGTGAGGCCCGCAGACCTTCCAGAGAGGAAAGTGAATGCAGTGGTGAAGTGGAGTCTTCTGCAATTGAAGCCGATCAAGCTGCCTCTACAGGAAATGGGCAAGTTATACATGTGTTGTGTGTTCTCCTTATGAAAATGGAGCAGAATGATCTAAAGTCCAGATAATTGCCAGAAATAATGTGAATACCTGCAGCAGAAGTGTGCCCATTGTTGCCTATTGTATGTATGTGGCTGTATAACTGGGGATGTACAACAGCAACTACATGCATAAAATTGCTTTTCCTGTGAGCAAAGTGCACAGAATGGGCTCATAGTGCAGACCCTGATAAAGGCGCAGGAGCCAGGAGGACAGGTTCAGGAGTGCCATGACCATGCTACTTTAAATAGGCGAGAATCCAAGACCGCTCACCAAACCATCAGTCATTAGAGCAGATTGCCAGTACACATTAGAGCAGTTACTATGAAAAGAGGAGACTTTAATGGCACCAAGTAAAATAGGACCATTTGCTTGCCTTGATTAAAAAAATTAAATCCTACCCATATGTGTCGGTAAAGCCTAGGCACAGATTACATGGTCTCTGTTTATCCGAGACTGGAGAAAGTCTAATATGTTCAGACTTTTTTCAACTTCATTAACATAAATGGATCTGTGAGAATGTGCAGCACTGCTGAGGAAGAAGCAGAGCCTGCATATTTAATGAGCACATGTAGAATTACAAACTATACACGGATGCAAGGTTTTTATACCTTAAAAACATTAATAAGATTAATTGCTTTACCTTCCAAACCCGAGTTCTGGACAAAGCCACACAGCTTTTGCAGAAAATATTCCCAGCCGGCTCATATGCCTAATGCACCATGGCATTGTGGATGGTTTGTACTCTGCTAAATGGCTGCCCCCCCCTGCTTGAGTATGAGACAGCCATTGGAATATGTGAAGGACTTCAGAGTGGGATACACTAAATAGGGTGGGGGATACATTTAAAGGACAACTTCACTAAAAGTATACTTGCCCTTTTTAAGCTGAGCTTTGTCACATTATAATAAAAAAAACAGTTGGTAATAAGCATTTTGGGTACAAGGCATTATATTTTTAATGACTTATATAAGAGTTTAATCTGTTCTCTGCTGCATGTTTATAAATGTGACATTTACATTACCTTTATTATACTTCTTTTGATGAAGTTCTCTTGAAGTTCACAACTAAAATCCATCCTTGCAGCCAGTTAAACGTACCATTTGCATGTAATATTTCTACTTTAATGGATAACAAAGTGCAGTTCTTTGTTCCCTGTGGCATTAGTGATCTAGTTATAAGGTAACTTGCTTAACAGTTGGGGATTCTTTGGTGAAATTAGAGACTACGATATCTTTCCTTTCTCTCTGCTAAAAGGAAGCCAGGATGACATAACGAACACCAATTACTGTGGCGATGCATTCATAAAAACTAATTAAAGAAGAACTATGAGGTGAGTGCTTTTCACTCACCTCATAGTTCTAGCCGACCTGTGACAATGAGACTGTTATAGGTCGGCTCAGTAGATCGGGAGGTGAGCGAACACATACTGGCATTCGCTCACCTCTCGATCCTGTCACGGCTCTCTGCCGTGACAGGGGAGGGGCTGGATTCCCTGCTTCGATCTGCCAGCGCTGACTGGCGGAACGGACAGGGGAGGGGGCGGGTACAGCTGGCTCTGCCTCTAGATAGGCAGAGCCAGCTGTCAGTCACGCAGCTGGGCGGATCCCGTCATAATTGTCGGGATCTGCTTCAGCTGCGGCGTCTCAGTATACCACGAGCTGTAGCTAGCGGTATACTGAGCTTCGGGTGACGGGAGGACGCTAGTTTGTGTCCTCCCGTTACCCTAAGGAGAACTATGGGGAAAAGCCTTAACCCCATAGTTCTCCTTTTTAAGGCTACACTCTTGCTGGTGTGATTTATTATGTGCTGTTACATGCGCTGCAAAACATCTCTGTGAAAAGTGCATGTAGCAAGTAAAGCCATTTCCATGCACCTGTAGAGCAGCCTTTATACATTTTTTAAGTCAGCTAGTTTAAGTAGCTGAATATTGACTTTGTATCAGATTCTTCTAATCTGCAGCAGAACACCACTTAGACTGGGTAAAAGGGCTGTTGCTATACCTGGGCATGCCTTCAGTTTAAGCATCAGGAGTCCTGTTTCTGTCCTTCATATTCTATACCCTCAGCATAAAATGGCACAAATCTGTGTATTGGCCACTTCAGGATCTCTTATTTCACCTGACTGGGGGGCACTCATATGCCCAGTACCAGGGATGATGTGGAACCTGCATAACATCCCTTTTGCCTGTTCTGACATCTTTGGAATCAACATTTCATACTCCCAGTTGGGCAATATTTGCCAGCTATGGTCGCTGCTTAACTTCATTAACAATGTAGCAGAACCTTGTCATCCCTCTGGTGCTTGGCTAGAATATGAAAGTCCAGGTTCTATATCTATATTATTCCATGCCTTCTTCCTTTTCTGTAGAGTTTGATGTAAGGCATGCATGCTTTTTCTAGAACTGGTTGGAAAGTGAAAGGGTCTGCCCTCATTATAACCACCTGATTAGTCTAAGTTGAGGTATGGAGAACTGCTGCCTCAGCATTTTCTTTAGGTGTGAACAAGTCTATGAAAGTGTCTTGCCTAATTTAAGACTGCTGTTGCAAAGGAAACTGCAATATGTTGGAGAAAAGCAGTGAGCCAATCCCATGAGCAGGTTATGGGAAGTTTAGGAGTACTGTTGCCATGGTAGCAAGGAACAGATATTTCATATTTTTGGCACTTGCAGACCATTTATAGCTGCTTGCATATTGAAATGCCAATTTTTAAAGTTTACCTAAACCGATATAAAAATAATACACACCCTCACATACACAATGTCATGCATGTTAATGTACTTATTAATGCAACTGGTGCAAGCACCTGTATTTTGTCTTGATATCAGCCTTTTGTAATTCTTATTACAGTAAAGCTCAGATTGGGAGAAGGAGAGGCAGCACTGGAAGCTATTGAGGGTCTGTTGTATGTACATGTTAACTGGTAACATGCTGACAGAAGGAGAAAGTAAAAACATGACCCTATTAGTTGGGTGATGCTATTTTACTGTTCACTCACAAGCTGGAGGCAGCAAGGTGTTCAAGCTGGATTGCACATGAGTGGTAGAGAAAAGTCTGGTCACTGACCTGGCAGGGCTGTCTATTGTGAGGACTGGCTAAACGAACATTTAGCAGTATGCCTGCAGTTCAGCTTGATTAGCATAGGATAACTGTACTTTTATGGTTTATGTCGGCCTTTTATTTTTCTGTGCTTCGAGAGTGGTAATCACAACTGGGCCAGTTTGTCATTTATGTGCATTCAGTCTGTACTGAGCAATAGTACAGAGTTGTGATCAGGTGCCTGTGTGATTTAAATCTTCATTGGCAGACTTCATGAAGACTTCTATATTTTTCTGCACTTGTGTAGTCACTGGAGAGACAGATCACAAACACTGCCAATATTACCGGTAGTTCTGCAAACCCACTGCCTGCTCCCATCCCATGTGATTCCGAACAGCTACTTGTGAGAAGCAAAATGCACATCTAAATATATTGCTGATGCTTTCCTTGTTCAGTCCTGGTCAGAAGCAGGCTGATGACTACACTGTGTAAGTCTGACTACTAGATCTAAACAGAGCATTGTTTACACTGGCCTGGTCATGTGATGTCGGCTCTCAGAACACCGGAAAAGAAAAGACTTTGCAAAGATTTGACTAGATTTGCAAAGTTGTTTGGTGTCCTTGAGAAAAGGCTAATGTTTTAAAAGTACAGATATCCTTTAAATTGCAAAAAAGTCTATAGAGTAGGGATGCACCAATATCGTTTTTTCTGTATCAAGTACGAGTACCGATATTTTGTTTTCAGTGCTCACCGATGTCGGAATTCACATTTAAGGAAGCGGGGTGGCGTGTAATGACTTGTCCCCCGGCTTCCTGATTAGCCGTGAAGCCGTCTCCATGCTGCCTCGTCACCAGGTGACGAGGCAGCATGGAACCGGCTTCCTGCCCAATCGGGAAGCCGGGGGGCAGGTAAATGACTCGCTTCCGGATTGGCCAGATTCCCGACCAATCGGGAAGCCATACGGTGAGTCATTACATGGCGCTCGGCTTCCTGATTGGCAGGGAAGCCAGTTCCATGCTCCCAGGTGACGAGGAAGCATGGAACCAGCATCCTGGCCAATCGGGAAGCCGTGGGGCGGGTAAATTACTCGCTGCCCAGCTTCCGGATTGGCCAGATTCCCGACCAATCGGGAAGCCATACGGTGAGTCATTACATGGCGCCCGGCTTCCTGATTGGTAGGGAAGCCAGTTCCATGTTCCCAGGTGTCGAGGAAGTATGGAGTCGGCTGTCTGGCCAATCAGGAAGCCGGGCGGCGGGTAATGACTCGCCACCTGAATTCTTGATACAGGGAGTTCTGGTATTGGGAGCATTTGGGCCAGTACGAGTACCCAAATACTTGGTGCATCCCTACTATAGAGTGTTTAATTTTACTATGTTAGATTCGTTTTCTTGCTGGAGGTAGACAGTCTGCATGTTACTTTGTTTGCAACTAACCTTGATGTTTGTTTTTGCCCCTATTTTGCAGCTCCTATAGGGACAGCCATGAGAACTGCTGGAATGAATGTCCACATGGAGAGCCTCTTCCAGAGATTGAAGTTGCTGAGGTGGCAGATCCTGACGAAGACATTTAATGTGCCTGTGTTAACAATGGACGGACATGTTCTGCCCATCGTCATGTGTTCCTCTTCCATCCTGTGAAATCTTAGAGCCTTTAACTGACATGCAGGATGTTTCCATGCACAGATAACACTAAGACGTGAAAGTGCCGTTATTGCTGCTATATGGCCGGCCCGTTGAAGTTTGCTATATACAATCTGAGGAAGTAAAGGGGATTGCACCTTAGAACTGAATAAACAAAGCCCATCTTTTGATTCTCTCACAGTAATGATTCACCAGTAATTTTGTGTCTAGCTGTGTCTGTGTGAGGATGGCATTGTTTTCAAGCACTTTTGTAGAAGTCCACATTAATCGCATCAGTGCCACACGGGGCTGTTCTGCTTTGCCAAGAATGCTTCTTGCTTCCTTTCTTTTTCCACACAAAGAATCACTTGTTTCCTGCTGTGGATGTTGCCAATCGTGTTATTTTAATCAGCGGCGGCTCGGAGAGAGATTTTCTAGTAACTGAGCAACAACCTATGTGTACAGGTTGTTCTATTATTAGACCGCTGTGCAGGCAGCACACCTGACCCCCAGCAGCTCCCTTGGAGATTCATTGGAAGTTTCCATTAAGACCTGAAACCTTTTGTGTACATTGGTGCTCAAGAAAGCACATCTATCTAACGTTAAATGATTGTTAAAGAGGACCTGTCATGAATATGGCATTATCAATTCATGTTTATCAATTCATGTTTATCAATTCATGTTTAAAATATGAACTGCTGTTACCCAGAATTTTGGTCTTCTAATTTCTTATGATCCTCTGCAGTGCAAAGTTATCTGTGTTTCAGATTATAATTTATTGGATAGAAACAGTATTTAAAGATAACTGCTCTTTCAGTACAAATCACCATGCTGTAATAGTGCCTGCAGGCTGCTAAAAAAACACTAAGTAGGTCTCTGTAGCTTACTTGAAGAGATCAGTACTCCCTCCCTTGGAGTCTGCAGCCTCCTTACATTTACTCCCTGCTGTGCTGCTGTTACTCCCACACTCCCCTAGAGATAGACCTTGGGAGAAGAGCTCTGCATTACTCTGAATGTGTGTCCCACCTCCCAGGAACTCGATTGGTGGAGCAGCTTTAAGGAAAAGTTAAAGGATGTGCGTGGAAAGTGCAGTTATTCTTTAATGATATCTCCGTTCATGACAGGTCTTTTTTAAGCACAATCTTAATCTCCACATGGTTTTTAGATATTTACAAATATATGTTCCAATATTTTATCTATGAAGCTTAGAAGTACCAAATTCCAAAGTATTTATACATTGAGAGAAAATGGATGCTTGTGTATGTTATGCAATGTAAAGGAAAAGTTGTTTTTTTTGTTTTTTTATTGGCTAAACTTACTGGTCTTTTTCTTTGCTATGTGTTGTATTTTTGTATGCTTGACAAGAAGTTTGTGTTTTAACATCAGGAAGTTGTAAAATGTGGACATTTGGTCATTGGTAGCCAAATCAAACACAGATGTAGTCTAAATGGTAAATCAGAGGCAGCCATTTTGTTTGCTGATGTTATATTCTGCCCAGAAATGTTCCAGGAACCGGTGACATCACTGTATTGTGAAATACAGACACTCTTATCACTAAAATGTATATTCTGTGTGTTTGAGACACATTTTATATTGTTGCTCCAGATATTTTTCCAGCAGTTTGCAAGATGTCTGGCATTTTGTAAGGGGTAAGTTCAAGCTGAAGAGGTTGGTTGAGGGACAGGCAGGAAACTAATGGGTAAGCCTTTCTCACTGCCATGTTCCAGAAATAGTCCATAAAGGTTCTTTTCTCGGTCATGCAGCAAGTGTTGTGGCCCCATAGACTCCTATGGGGAAACCTGTGTTTTTACTGACGTGGTAATATAATTGGCTGCTGTTGGGTCCTAAGAAGGAAGATTTCTCCACAGGACCTTTAACAGGGCAGAACCCTGAACTTGGGGAAATAAAGATCAGAACAAGATTAAGGTTTTTGGCCAAAAACATTCACCAGATTCCGTCTTTAAAGAACAACTCTGGGGGGAAAATGAGTGGGACTAGCCCTGCTCTGCAAGGCTTAGCTGCTCGTTTTCATCTAGGGACTAAAATAAAGAAATTATTCTACTCTCCTGATCCTCTGAGCCGGCTTGTTCGGCCGCTCCTTCCATCATCTTCCTACCTCCGCTGCAGCGATCTAAGGTCCCTGAGTCACCACATTCTTTACACTGTGAATAGGACGTGAGGGCGCAGAGAGACATACTATTGCTGTAGCATAGAAAGAGAGAGGCTGGAGGGAGCTCTGTGACAGCCGGCCAGCTCCAAGGTGAGTAAAACCGTTTTACTTTAGCACCTAGACAAAAATGAGCAGTTAACCCTTGCAGTGCAGGAGTAGCCCCACTGCAAAGATCAACACATTTTTTTTCCCAGAGTTCTTTAATTTTCTCCATAGATCAGAACAAGATTAAGGTTTTTGGCCAAAAACATTCACCAGATTCCGTCTTTAAAGAACAACTCTGGGGGGAAAATGAGTGGGACTAGCCCTGCTCTGCAAGGCTTAGCTGCTCGTTTTCATCTAGGGACTAAAATAAAGAAATTATTCTACTCTCCTGATCCTCTGAGCCGGCTTGTTCGGCCGCTCCTTCCATCATCTTCCTACCTCCGCTGCAGCGATCTAAGGTCCCTGAGTCACCACATTCTTTACACTGTGAATAGGACGTGAGGGCGCAGAGAGACATACTATTGCTGTAGCATAGAAAGAGAGAGGCTGGAGGGAGCTCTGTGACAGCCGGCCAGCTCCAAGGTGAGTAAAACCGTTTTACTTTAGCACCTAGACAAAAATGAGCAGTTAACCCTTGCAGTGCAGGAGTAGCCCCACTGCAAAGATCAACACATTTTTTTTCCCAGAGTTCTTTAATTTTCTCCAAGAAGAAAACACGTGATCACTATGGGGAGGTCATTCACTTCTAGTGTCCTTTTTTTTTTTTTTTTTTTTTTTTTTTTAAATATTTCTGTAGATGAGCCTCTTGACATATTTCAAACCTCCCAATCCATGTACTTTCTGCATATTGTTGGGTGGTAGCTTAAACAGAACAGTAGCTCCTCTATGTCTTTAGACCACTACTAAACAAAAGAAATGCCTCACTGGTCATGATGTCATTTCTCACATGCAATAAATCAGTATTGCTGATCTGACATTTCTACCTTTATGACTTCTTGTGCTGTGGGGTGAAGCTTCAACATAAAAACACATGGGTTTCTGGCATGTAATTCATTGTTGTAGTTCATACTACTTACACCCCATTTACATGCAGGCAGCCATTGCTGACAGTTTTATAAATGCTAGTTGACTTCTATGCAGATCCAGTGCCTTCAACCTCGGATCTGGATCAAGTATACTTTATACCCACCAGTTCTGACATTGCTGTGACTTCACCTTCAGTATCCTTTTCCCTTTTGAAAGACTCAAGTAAAGAGACGAGATGGCCGGGTAATTGCCATTTTCAGAAAGAGGTCAGAATTGATTGCCTACATGTTCTTCAGTACCAGTATACTTTTTTTGCCCAACTGCAGTCATTTTTGGGGATAGAGTGGCGAATAGTTAATATTTTGCCAGGTTTGATCCCGGTCTCCGACCCAAGTACTTTGATGTTGTCTCTTCCGAGAAATGGGGGTCATCATGGGAAATGGACAGTGATAAAAATTATACCAGAAGTTCCCTTTCTCCCTCTGTGTTGCTAAAACGTAAACATGTTTTGGATTTCTTGGTCTGTATTCCTTTTTGGTGAGATTTCCCAGCACTTCCTGCCCTGACAGGATGTGGGGAGAAATGTCCCCAATAAGGACATGGATAGCAATAAAATCTCTAACCCTTTCCCACTCTTCCCCAAACAAATACAATTTGGCTCAGGGCTCAGCTGCACATTAACTTTTTCCAGGATCTTAAGTGTAATTAATCTTGTTTTAATATTTGCTTCATGATTTAAACTGTTTTGCATACATATGACACATCTGACAACAGGAGTAATCTCCTGCTATTAAGCTATGTACAATCCCATGTATAGTTGAGCTATTGTAATTTAAAAGGAAATGTTATTTGTATTAAAATTCTAGTTTTGAGTTTTTCATTTTTTTTTAAAGGGAGAGTGCCTTTAGGATATTCATAGCAATGTGTCTAAACATAATTGGTTATGGGTTTTTTTAATGGCAATTGATGCATTGTTTGAAATGCAGTCTTTTATACTGTATGCTCATTAAAATGTGTATAGTCCTATGTTGCAGAGAGACCCAGTTAATTCAATGTGGTTACTATGTTATTATGGCACATACAGGTTCATGTTCCTTCAAATTTGTTAAGTTTCTGTCACTCATAAATTAATTTGTGCACAATATAATCTACTGGTATGTGTGTTTTACGTTGCTTTGATGCATGTGTTAAGCAGCTGAATTTTCATCATTTATGTGGATTATAAAGCTATTATGCTAGAATGTAAAAGAGCTACTAATACTAGTCAAAATGTATACCCTTTTTTGTGCAATACAATACATATAAAGATTGACCTGCTGGGCTGAACAAGAAATATCACTTGATTTCCCTACCCATCGAAACAGCATAGATGAAGGAATTTTCCCTGCTGGCTATTGTATCCAGGAACAAGTACAGATGAGGTGCTGGATTCATATACTTAGATCAGTCAGAATGTGATAAAGAACAATGGCTCCAGTGAGGCCAATGTCCAAAAACCACAAGGGAATCCAGGGTTGAAGATCTATGCATACAGGTGAAACTCGAATAATTAGAATATCGTGCAAAGTTCATTTATTTCACTAATGCAACTTAAAAGGTGAAACTAATATACGAGATAGACTCATTACATGCAAAGCAAGATAATTCAAGCCGTGATTTGTCATAATTGTGATGATTATGGCTTACAGCTCATGAAAACCCCAAGAACCCCAAATCCACAACCTCAAAAAATGAGATTATTACATGCAATCAATAAAACAAGGATTGTACATAGAACAATATCGGACCTCTAAAAAGTACAAGCATGCATATGTACTCAGTACTTGGTTTGGGCCCCTTTTGCAGCAATTACTTTTGCACGATAGTCTAATTATTCGAGTTTCAACTGTACCGTATATACTCGAGTATAAGCCGTCCCGAATATAAGCCGAGGTACCTAATTTTACAAAAAAAAAAATGGGGAAAAAGTATTGACCCGAATATAAGCCGAGGGTGGGAAATGAGGCAGCTACTGGTAGATAGATACCAATAAAATTACATTAATATTTATTTAAAAGAAAAATAACCTAGCTCTGTAAGTGGAAAAGGGGGTACAGGGCTACATATCATGTACTACGGATCATTTAACCCATTCATATTAGCAGAGGATAATTGTAAATCTATTGTTCAGTGCACTCTATATGTAGTATATAGTACATGTACATATAGAGTGCCTGCAACAATACATTTACAATGATCCTCTGCTAACATGAATGGGTTAAATGATCCATAGTACAGGGCTACATACAGATCATTTAATACATTCATGTTAGTATAATTGTAAATGTATTGTCTGCACTGTATTAGCAGTATATACTCTATATAGAGTATATACTGCTAATACAGTGCAGACAATACATTTACAATTATACTAACATGAATGTATTAAATGATCTGTATGTAGCCCTGT